TACCACTCTTGAACCAAATGTACAGCTGAGAGGATCTACTCTGACAGGAGTGAAATTATTTTTTATATCCTGCTTTGTCTATGAACACAAAATCATTTCTTGCTTATCTGTTTCAAAGAAAAACTAGTATACCTGTGTATTCTGCACCAAGTGTAAATCAGGATTCTCCTCTTGTTTGTATACATGTAAACTAATTCTATCAAAGTACCAAGTGTAAATCCAGTTAAGAGTCACAATCAAATTACGTTTGCAAAGTTAAATAGATCTTCTAAAAAAAAACCCCTCTAAAAAACAAGTCTTTACTCACTTTGTGTGGACAAGACCATATTTCCACTCTAACTATTCAAGCAAATTATATCTTCTTCTACGCACTTGATGTTGTGGGTGGTATTTTTTAATGTGCTCACACATCGTACTAGATTTTAATCAAAACAGCCTCTCCATCAGTGTAAAACTGAAAATAAACGGAACTGTCCTCGCTTTATTTATTTGTTAACAAGACCAGGGTCTGTTCTGTTTTGCTGATAACATTTCTGTGTTACTGTTTAACAATGACATATACAAAACATAATTAACATTACAAAGTAGCTAAATTAACTACTTTTTTTCAGGGAAATAGGAAGATCTAGAAGAAAAACCACAGGAGAGCCTAAATACAGATTTTCTTCAACCTGTTAACCTTCTAGTTCTCTTATTAAAACTACCAAAGACAGAAGACCAGACATTCTTCAGAAAACAAAACAAAAAAAGAAGTGACAGGCCACCCATTAAATATCTTGATTTTCAACTGCAGTAGCAAGGAGTGATCTACAGTTACATGTTAAAGCAATTTACATACAAAAATATTACGAAAAATAGACTTGAAAAAAGGTTATTACTAAAAAAAAAATCTGTCTGCTGATATCCTAATACCTACATAAGCAGAGATCCAGCACTAAGGAACGTTCTTAATTATCTAACTCTCTTTGACCTTCGTTTCTTTCCAGATACCCAGAAGGACAAAATTCTATTCTCCTTATTTACAAGAGTATCCCATTTGATATTAATGGCATTATTTTGCTAGTTTGGTTAAAGATTCACATACAAGAGCTTTCTCAAAGAATCTTAGACATAAGCACTGCCTGGCTTCTGTTTATTCCACTCAGCCGCTGCAGAATTTCTTCAGTTTATTGAAGAACAAATTCTCCTTTTGGAATCAAACAGTATTTTCAGGTAGCTTTTAAATCACTCAGACATTGTATCTGAGTGTACTGTCAGATAAAAAGTTGCAATAAGTCATAGGAGTTGCAAGAATTTATACCATGGGACTTGCAAAGCGCTCAGCAAGGTAGCTACAGCGTGTAAATCCACAGCGATGCTGAAAGACTTCGCGGTCTTTCAGAAGTCTGGAGGAACCTGTAAACACTCACAAAAGACACTACAGAGGTGAAACAATTCATCTCCCCTGGACACATGAGGTTTAATAATCCAGCCACCACAGGCTCCTTCCCATTAGCAAAGTCACTAAGAACATGGCACACAAAAAAAAAAAAAAAAAAGAAAAAGCAGGGTATAGGCTAATGCATGAGTTACTGTCTACTTGCTCAAACAGAGGTGTTTGGAATGTGGGATTATAGTTTCATTTTTCATATTTATTCCTTTAATTAATAGCTTTTCCATTACGTCTTTGAGAAAGAGAACTAAATATGTGAATTTTTCATTAAAATAGTAAAAAGTTCTATTACATGATAATGGCATTTCTACATATCCAGCTTTAATATGTGTGGTCTTGCACTCAGTCTGAAACTAAGACTAAAAATGTAATGATGACCACGTGCAGCAGTGAATGCTATGGGTGCCAGATACATACATATGTTGACATCTTGCCATCTCAATTATCAGGGCAGGCATAATTAAAGACACTGTGAAAATGACTAACTTCATCACTTCCATACTGTGGAAAAAACAACAAACTTGTAGGGTTTTTACTTCATTATAAGCAAGGACATGTCCTTTAAAATGAACTAATGCACCTGCATTGGACTAAATTTGATCTTTTTTTCAGAGAGAAAATATGCAATCTCTACATTTAAAAAAAAATCAGTGTTTGTATTTACATTGGATAAAACATCCTGGCAACCAAGACTGGAATAGAGGCCTCTGTGCTGCCTCTCAAACAGCCTAAAATGGGTGTTATCTCTGATATGCTGTCCTAGACCCACTGAAACTTAAACTCCTTTCAAACCGAGGCCAGGCAGCAGAGGGAGAAGTGGAGATGACCCTGCCCATGAGAGTCTCTGAAGAAGTCTCCGTGATAAAACACCATCAGAGAAATGCTACTTTGACTGTTTTATGAGCTGTGGAAATAGCTGAGCAGGATCCTTGCAGAGCTGCAGCTCTGGACTCAAGCCACGCTACCCTCGTAACCCTTTTTCTGGGTCCAGCTTAAGGGATGGTTCCTCTCAGCTCACCACGTTGGGTCTGTTCTCGGTGGAGAGAAACGGGCACCTCTAGGGCCTGCTGCACCTCATCCTACTGTAGATGTTGGAAAGCACCCCGACTATACCTCCATCTCTCCGCTGACTATAAAGATTGTCCTGCAACCTTCTCCACGATCTGTTTTCTTGGGTTGTCTTAATATTTTTGTGGTCGTAACTTTCACATTTACACTTCAGCCACACGTCTCTGTCTTCTACTCTGTCTCTCGTCTGTGCTTGTCTCCCTCACCCATCCCCTGAATTCCCAGTGAATCGCTCGGACTGGAGGAGCCTTTGCACACTAGAAGGAGAGCGGGGCCGGGAGGCAGCCAGAGTTTGTTGCAGGATGGAAACCAAAGGTAAAAAGTGCACCTACCCTTAAGTATCGCTCACGTATAACTGTCTACATAAGGTTCAGCTGTCTGTGTTCTCCTCTTCATGTGTCTGCCTGGGTTACATCTAATTGAAAAAAGGTAGCTCTTCAGGGTGGGGACCTACTTCTTTCTTATGCTCTACCTAGGGCTTAGATAAATATTAAATTATAATAATACTAAGAAGGCAAAGCCAATATTTACAATTATGTGATTGTTTTTCACAGCATTGAGAATGGATTTCCAAACTCAATTGGTTTTCTCTTGTTAACACAGTCACATTTGCAGTATTTACGCTACAATTCGGAGCGACAGAAAATGCCTGTACTCAAAAATTAGATAAGACTTAATCTGTGCTCTTAGTTAACGCCAGCCTCAAACAGAAATTGCTTAATACTAAACTTTTTTTTTTCCTAATTTTACCTGTTTCTTGCTAAAGCTTGTTAAGTCAGAAAAAACCCTGTGAAAGAGATGACACTCTTAGAAAGAATTTCTAGAGACATGTAATTCTAAAGCATACTTCAGTCAAAGGATCATGATCCTGATGGTCTTCACTTGTGATTTAATACTTTGCTGTCTCAACTTGACTTTATTGCAGTAGCAATGCAGTGATGCTAGAACTACACTGTAAATAAAACATGCCAACTTAGTTGCACAGTCCAAATAAATAACTTTAAATAAATAAATAACTCCATCACAGAAACATCAGTCAAAAATGCAATTAAAAAGAGCCTCTTGCTTTGTGTTGTAAAAATATGACATAGTACTCAGGACAGGCTGTTTCACATAAAATTCTTCCCTATATTCAGCAACTCCAAGGTCAAAGTACTGGAACTTCATTTTTCAAAGTTGAAAGGATGATTTAATAATTATTTGGTATGAAGACAACTCTGTTTCTCTACCCTGCATACAATATCAAATTCAGTATTGCTTGATACATCGTGTATTTTCATTCACGCTTTCATTACAGCGCTGTGAAGTACAATCATTTATTATACATTCTCTTGAATTTTTTCGAAACAGCAAACAAAATGTAAAATGCAAAGGGAGAGAAAAGAAAGCACCAGAAATCTTACTAGAAAAACAGTATTCCCTTTCTTATCCTCCTTGTTCTAACCACGAACCGCAGTGAGCACTGAACAGTGCTGGACATTGGAAAATAAAACTGAACTATAGGACTTTATGCAGCTTTAATGTCCTAGTACAGCAGTGATAAATTCTGAGTGCCACCACAGTGTCACCTCTAGGATAATTACTCAAGCAATAGATATCTCATTATAGAGAACTAAGTGTCTCAGAAATGGTCTTTGCTAGCAGACTTAGTTGGTAATACACTGGAGAGAAAGGACCCATCAGTTCTTCTCAAATTCTTTGCTAAACTTCAGTTCAACCGTCTAACATATCTAGGACTAATAGCAAAAGTCACTCAGGCCTTCGATGCTCCTTTTCCTTCCCTCCGCCCAAATGACCTAATTTTTCACAGAGCATTGGGTGAGTTATTCACACAAGGCTCAAACCACAGACAAATGCAAAGCGTAGAGAGCAGCATCACATGAAGGAGGTTTTTGGCCACAAACTTGTGACCCAGATTCCTTTCTTAACAGCTAGATTCAAAGGAGCAGACATCAGGCAGACTACAGGGAATCATCTCCCCGGTTAACCTCGCTGGCAGAAGACCTTACAGTACAAGGACGTGTCATCAAAGTAAAGCAATCTTCATGTGCAAGTGGAAAGTGGACTTTTAGTAGCAAATACTAATTTTCATCTATTAAAATGCTGTAATATTGTAAATGCTTGAAACATGGAAGTATTTCTTTCTTGTTTGGCTGAATTTCTTTCACCTTCCTAACAGAAGCTTTGAATTTACAAAACAACTAGCTTCCGTTTCTTTTTCTGATGTCACTTTTGCAGAAAACACCTTCTAATTTGGAAAGTTGTGCAGTTCTTACCTGTTAGTCTAAGAAGAGAAATCAGCAATGTTTTCACAACAAAAGGCCAGCAGGCTTTTTGCAAAGTCACTGAGAATGGTGTAATAAAATGTCCCTACTAATAGTGGTTGCAAACTAAACATTTATTTACCTTTATGTAGTCTTAGCTAAACACCATTTGGTCTAGAGGAAACAGAGTGACTAGGCAGTCTCAGCAGCTTGAATGAAACATTAGGAGAGGGTACCTGCATGACGATAAGAAGGTCAAACACCAGGATGAAAGAAGCCAAGAAGGCTCTTGAGACCTCATCACTTGGCAGAAATCCCCGATTCAGCTTGTCCCAGCTGATCCAGTCAGTAGTGATGACAAGCACAACTACAGAGGTCAGAGTAAACAGAACCGTCCTGCAAGGGTAAAAAAAAATAGTTCAGAGAGAATACAGTAGTAATGAAGATGCATCATTCTATTTTATCTGTCTTCGAATGGTCATCTAGTGCTTTATCAGTACTTTTCTGCTGATGAAAAGAGATTGAAGAAAATTAAGTGTACAAACAAATCATTTAATTCAAAATAGGAAAGCATTCAGCTGTATCCTTAGTAGAAAGAAATTTAGTAGCTAGTACTAACCATGTCGCAAAATTAGCCTGGAGTGTATCACTCTTGTCCCTCATTCCATATTTTTCACTGCAGATGCAAACCAATTAAGTAAAATCAGAAAGAAGTAAACTATAACAATGTACTAAGGACTGTATGATCTAGGCCAAATTCAAATGATCAATTTGAGAGAACATTTTCTAAGGCACCAAAGACACTAGAACCTTTGAAAAGTCTTTTCTCAGCTGTAGGAGCTATAGGACACTAACTGTGAACTCTAATTTTTATATAGAAACCCATCTGTATGAAAGCAATTTTCATTGGACTAAATTAATCTTTAGTAGATTCTGGGAGTTGTAGAAAGATTTTGCTTTGTGTCTCCTAAGATGTCCTTTGTACAAGTTTTCAACACATCTTATGGCATTTCTGAGAAGTCAGTGAAGAGTGAATTACAAAAGTAATAAAGCCTCCATATGAATGCTGTGAGAATTCCAGAAGACACATTTGGCTAATTCATACAATTTTGCAATATGGTATTTAAGAAAATATCTTTCTAAGCTATCCCCCCAAAATAGCTCTGCATCATTTCCAGCAGCACTTTGGTGATATCCTTCAGAGTTGTCAGCGATGACGGATTGAATTCCTGGTTCTGTGGAAGCAGGCAAATTTAGCTGGTAATTTGAGGGGGAGCAAGGCTTCTCCCAGTAGCCATAGCTGTCAGTAAATCTGTGCTGTAATAGGGGCATATCAACATCTGAATGCACGCACGCAGCTAAATAATTGTGGCAGGGTGGAGTTTTTTTCTACAGCAATTAAGTCTCATTTTCTTCAGCTACCGAGGGCTGTAAAACAACGTGAAGAATATTTCCCATGACACTTCCAAACAGGACAAATACTCAGCAGAGCAAAAGAAAAATCTGTACACCAGTAGGCACAGGCTACCAGCCTGTAAGCATTTCTTCTTATACATCAGCCTTGGCTGTGTCTGTGTAGGAAGGGAAAACAAATACGCACATAAGCAGCAGGGTACACATTTGGACTCCTAATCATCATTCTTCTGTGGCACGATGGGCTGCGCTTCTTCACAATATAATGAGGCACAAAATTACTTGATTGCCACCATCTTTACCTTTGAACATTTATTTTTATTCTTAATAAAAAAGTTGTATTCAACACTATGGTTGGCACTATACCAGTATCCCTTAAGTGTATTACCAGCATCTGGGCAAGAAAAAAAAAGGCATCTCAGACTTAATTAGACGTAAGCAATATTCAAACCTGCTTACCCCCAAAACATTTGCTTAGCTACCATCTCACCTGCCAGTACCTGAACCTGACTGACTTTTCTACAAGCTCCACTTTGGCCCATACCCAGAGTGGTTTACTTCGGAAAGGCGATTCATTATGGTGCTTCTCTCTTGCATATAGTCTCCTGAGACCACAAAGGTGGGTTTTCCCACCTATTTCACCTTCCTATCTGAAACTTACACAGAGGTAATTTACACAGCTGAGAATTTCTCCAGAAAGAACACAATCCGCAGTGCTTGTCTGTGGCCGGTGCAGACTGCCCTGGCCGCTGAGCACACTGATTTTCCTCATCCTTTTTCTGAGGAACCCATATCTCCTGGTGCACGGGCAGTTTAGAACCGTAATTCACGTCTGCGTAGTTTGCTATGGAAAGGAACCATGCACCCAGATGTTATGCTCAACACTATTCTGCTTCAGTCCTCTTGAATTATGCATTTGCGTTTTGGAGCAAGAGTTCAAAGCATGGAAGGTCAGACTTTGGCATGTATGCAAGCAAAGGCAGACATATTTTTATGCACGCTTCATTGGCATGCATGCAAAGACCAATGTGTGCTCAAGTCCTGATTTCCTTGAGGAAATGCATATGCACTTAAAAAACTGCTTTGTTATTCATTCTGAAATGTCAAATAGGGAGGGAAGGGAGCAGAAAATGGGCTGCTAATAGAATATGAAAATGTGAAACCAATAAAAAAGGTTAGAAATAGACTGTTGAAATGGTTGCATTAAACAGCATAATTAGCACTCAGTTGTATTTTTGACCTATGATACTGGAACACAGCAAGATATTAAACACTTGCTTTTGGAGTTATTATAAACTGAGTTTGTCTGGGTTAGAGTTCAGTTCACTTCCTATGAAAGTATAGCATTGCTCCCGTGTCCTGGCGATTAAGAGAAGCAGCTGAGGATTTCATTTAACTTGACAGAACTTGTATCAGATGAACCAATGTGAGCTACCCTGCAATATTTAGGCCAGTGCAGGTTGTCCTTTGTTCTGCAAGGCACATTACTGAGAAAGAGCTACGCCATCAAAAAATTCACAGCGTTGCTGGCAGGACCTCTCCGTCTTCTGCTTACAGAAGGGCTATGAGGGGAAAGGCAAGGGAGGATTGTACCAGACACTGTCTTCTCTGTATCGGACATCAAGAAATGCAACTTCTTTCTCTACTTCACAGAGGAAATACACTTTTATATTTCACTTCTAATTCTAGCTTGCTGTATTGAACGATTATGTGCCCTGGGCACCTATTCAGCTACAACAACACACATTTTACAACCTAGCCCATACTCTTCAAGATATAAGGTTACTATGAAGAATAAAAATAAAAAAACCTATCTGCAGAAAAACACTGTCCAGGCCAATTGTATACTGAGAAGTTAAAATTATTAGGTAGGTCCAGAAAAGTCAGTACTGCGCTCATCACTGCCAATGATAATCTAAAATCCTCAGTTCTACGCTGAACTGAGGGAAAGCTTGAAGAGAGGAACTTTATACTGCCAGGAACCTCTCAAGAAGCAGGTAATTTTTTAGACTGTATCTCTATAATCTTTGATAGTCCGGACTGAGTTTGTTCTTGAATTTGTCCAACCAAGTCACTCATGCCAAACTGAATCCACACTGCTGGCCCTCATTCGCCAGCAGAACATTAATTTTGTCCTCACACACTTAGCAAGGGCCAAACCAGATGTCTTTGGCTTCTGCATTTCCCACAACAGCACCTTCTGGGACCATAAGCTTTGAGCAAGCTGACTGACCACTTAGCACCTATCACCCAGCTTATTATACACTACCAGAGGTTATGCAGAACATGGGCCAGAAGCTTGAGCGGATTTTGTCATTGGTGGTGGCTGCAGACAATTCCTTATGGCAGACAGGGTCATAACCTCTACCTTGCAGTCTCTATCATGCAGAAATGCCATTTCTGGAGGAGAAAGGCTGTGACACCTCATTTTCCTCTACACTACTAGAATCAGTAGTAAGTACAGAACATCCACAAGCAATGGGCCACCTTCAACTATTCCAAGCACCTGGCATTAATTTACCTACAATGTCTCCACACTGCCATCCTAATGTTCAAGAACGTAGCCATCATCCTCTGATGTTTGGACAACCCAACCCTGGACAAGTTGTTTGGAAAGCACTTAGAGGTGGGAAAATTCAGAGCTGGTGTGTTATGTCACCAGTCACACGCTCCCATCACAGGTGTCATCCACAGCTTCGCTCTGTGTGATCTCTTGAACTTTGCAAAAGACTGAGATGCTGGTCACATATTAATCTTCTGTTTGCTCAGTGGAGGTCATAGTTATGCGAATAGAAAAAGGCTGTCACGGCAGCATAACGCAGACGCTGGTGGATAACAGGTTTACATGAAATGTTTAGAAAACAGGGCATCTTTGATTCAGGGCAGTCCAGTATACAGGTACAGACCTGCACTGTAGGCAGTGCTGCATATTCCCTGCTGTCTCTGGGGAATATCAGTCCTTAAATTTTTTTTATATGCCCATAAATTTCACAGCACACTCATGCAGTGTGTGAGAGTCCATACATACCTACATTACCCGCACATGCAATGGCCACCATGCATATTATCTCAGCCCTATTTCTGCCTGTTGGGCTGAAAAGCTCACACCCTTCTCTTAAACACCTCTTGCTCTTTCAAAATCACAAAAAAATTTCTCCCTAGATTTTCTGTCTCTCTGCCCCTTGTACACAATGCCTGAGCTGTCACTTGGCACATGATGACCAGAGATCAGACTGGACTTTCCTACTGACTTTTCAAATAAAAATCGTGTTGTAAAGGAAAGTAGCTCTTCATCATCTCTCCCTTGCTAGTGGTCTTTCCTCACCCTCAGAGAAAAGCTCTCCTCATGGGGCTTTCCGAGAAATTTCTCTGCTGGTGTCCCAGTGCCCAGATGCCCTGCATGCCACACTCTGGCACAGCTGTGGCCAAAGGGTGAATGAGAACCGAGAAAACTTAAATCAGAAACACAGGTACATTAAATAAACAAGACACAAACCCAATGCAACATCACAGCAAGGAAAAGTAACAGGAGCAAAAAAACAGGGCCAGTTGAGGCCAACACATTCCCTAGAAAATAAAATGAGAATAGTGTGCATTTGGGTGAGCAGAGCTGTGCCCTTCTTCAGCAGATAATACTCTAAAGTGCCAGGGCTACCTGCCTTAACCTACTCCAAAATATTGAGGATAGGGTGTGATTTCCTAAAAAGCTCTTCCAGAAGTCGAAGATAAATCCTAAATGTTCAGTGAAAGAAAGCAAAAAACACAAAACCCGGTGGAGTGAGCAACCCATCCAGTGCTGTGAGGACCTAATTTTTTTGGTAGGATTCCTTGCCAGAATCTTTCCCCAGTAGATGTTTCCATTCCTACACTCTAGGCTACTTCATGGGTGACATCACTCAACAGTGGAAAAAGTAAAGATGACTTTTCCCTTGCCTTCAAGCAAGCCTGGCTTGTTTCCATTTCCAAGTGGTAGGGACAACCTG